GAGGTGAGCCCTGGCTCGCTGTGCCCATCCAGCAGTGCTGGGGAGCCAGGAAAAGGCTGCAGGAACCAAAACTCAGGGGTTGTATGGCTCCACAGCCTAGCGTGGGGAAAGGGTTAGTCCCAGAGGGATGCTGGTGGGAGCCTGGTGACAGTCAGGACAAAGGGACCACACGGGTGTGAGGATGGAGACTGAGGAGTGAGTAACTGATGTGCAATTAACTCGTACATTCACCTTTCATAGTTTAATTCTACCCCCCCTCCACAGCCTCTTCCAATATTAACTCTGCCTTCATGTGTGTCCCATTAGAAATGAAGCTTTCTTAAATCAACATAAATTATTTAATGCTACAGATTAAGTTAATTTGAAGTGAGAGCTCCTGTCTTATAAGATGGCACAAGCCAGGGACAGGAGAAGAGGAAGGTCACCTGGGTGCCAAGTGCATTCCCATTCAATCACAAGCCTTTTCCTCTTTTTTTTTTTTTTTTTCCTTTTTATTTTATTCTAATGTCTCTTTCCAGCCCTCCCCTGCAGAGCAGAGTAAGCTGTTTCTATTACCAAAATGATCGTTGGCAGCTTGAGACATCTGCGTTTCCCAGCTTTCCTGCTCTTTAGCAGAGTTTGATCAGAAAATGAAGAGGTTATGGCCTGGGAAAGGCCATTTTTCAGTATCAGTTTGTAATGCCAAGCTGCAATGAGAAAATGTGGAATAGGGGATGTTTCAAAGCCAGAACCGGTCCAGCCTGGAACTATCTCAACTATTTTTCTGTACTTTTTAAAAGAATTAAATTCTTTGAATGCAAAACTCAGCCTGAAACAGCATGCAGAGTCAGAATGTCAGTGTGGAACAAAAAAAAAAAAAAAAAAAAAAAAAAGTGATGAAAATGCAATCATTTTCTTCCAGATTGTCTCTTAGCCTTGAAACACATTTGGTCTTCATGAAGACCTTTTCTGCTGGGAATATTTTCAGTGGTGAAATAGTAACCAGGTCTACTGAGAATGAGGCAGCAACATCAAACAATCGAGTGGAAATCCCCGATAACTTAAATGTTTGATGCCGTGTCTGAGCAGCTTAAGTTTACAGCACTCAGCTGGCTCCTCTTGCTAGCGGTGGGGGGACAAGTGTCCTTGCATAGGTGTCCATGCAGTTTTTGGAGAGGCTCGAGTGCCGAGCACCCTGTCTGGAGGAGGAGGAAGATGGCAAGCATCCGCACCAGCTCTGCTCTCCTTGCTTGGAAGGGAATGAGCAAAACCTTCAGGGCTTCCATCCCTGGGAAGCCCATCTTGTGGTGCTGGGTCAATGTACCACGTGGGACGTAGCCACTGGCCTTGGGCTCTGCTGCCTTCATTAGCACAGAATAATGTCTTACTAATTATATGTGTGGCACATACATGAAGGGCTTGGTTTCACAACAAAGGGACGCTTGCCCTTCTGCTGTTTGTTATGCGGATGTAGAGCACAGCACATGTTTGGGGGTTCCAGTCACCACAAAAATGTGAAAAGCCACTGCCAAAAGGATGCTGGAGGGATCTTATCAGGAGCTACTGGGAAATTTGGAGCTTTCACTGGTAGCCCATTTTGTGCCCTGCTCTTGCCAACACCATGGTGAGCACACGCCTGTCCCAGTCTGATGAAAAAGCCTGGGTAATCTGCCACTGTGTAAGCAGAAATTGGAAAAAATAAAATAAAATCAAATGCATTTAAAATGATGAATATATTCCTTCCCAGCAGGACAGGACTGCATATTAGCAGTGGCTGGTGTTTAATCACACCGTTAAACTGGGAGTGAGGAGCTGAGCACTGAGCAGACACTGCCGCTGCTCGATCAGCCCCAGGCTCAGTGTGGTCAGTTCACAACATTTTAGGGGCAGTCTTGCAAAATTTGGGTTTTCTTCCAGCCCTGAGCCCCGGGGTTAGTCAATGCTGTGGAAGCCATCATGGTCTGCAGGTCTAGTCCTGGATGCCACAGGGCTGGGCTTGGGTGAGGAAGGGAGGTTTGTGTACCTGGAAGCTCGTGTGTTCCCCGAACTCCGTCCCTCAGCCGAGCAGCAATGCCACCTCCCCTGTCACCCTTCACCTTGCCTCTGTCCTCGGCACTGCAACAGCATTCCTACCCACATGCTGAAGAGCGAGCAACCAAAAAGTGTATCGAAGGAGAGGCATTTAGCAATGATTAATGTCAGGAGTCTTGCGCCAATCTGCAATTTCTTGTCTCGACGCAGGGGGGGCTGACCCGTGCTTTTATCAAGCACAAAGCGTTTGGCTTTGCTATGGTGAGTCTTGTGATCTGTACTGAACTGAGGGAAGCAGAGCACATAGGGCTGATAAAAGCCCATCCTGAGTCTCTTTGGATGCCTTGGTGGCTCCGAAGATGCCATGAAATTGAGGGGGGGAGGGAGTGGCATTTAATGTGTCCCCCCTCTCTGCATGGAGTGCCAGGTCTGTCTGTACTCTGGGGAGGCTGAGCGTGACGCCAGCCCATGTTGTGGGCACGGGGCTGCCTGTGGGACAAACATCTTTTGAGGTGTCTGCAGCTGGTGGTGGGGACCCACTCACTTCGCTGCTCCGTGCTGGCCAGGCTGGCAGATCTTAATGAGGCCCACAACCAGCACAGACATTTCGGAGCCTCTGGGCCAGGTGAGGCTGCGCAGCCTGCAGCACCAAGCAGCTGTAGCCCCAGGTGTGCGCCTCAATGGGCAGCAAGCCTAATTAAGGGCTCCAGAACCACCAATTTCACATCATTTTAACAGGGGGCTCTTGCTTGCTGTCAAGCTCAGAAAAGCAAGAGGCTGAAAAGCAGAGGCCTCCTGCTGTGTGTCAAAATCCCGCCATCCTGACATGCTGACCACGTGCACTGCTGCACTGTGCCTCCTCCTGCTCTCTGCATCTCACCCCAAATCCTCCCCAGTCTGTAGCACTCCCTCTGCTACCCCCTTGGCATCGCACAGGATCTCATGGCTCCTACTCAGGGCCTGGGGAGCTTGCTCTGCTTTATGTCACAGAATGTCACAGAAGGGTCAAGGTGGACCCTCTGGGTCCCTCTGGTCCAACCATGCCCCAGCAGGGCCACGCAGAGCAGGGTGCCCAGCCTCACAACCAGGCAGGTTTGAAGCTCTCCAAGGAGGAGCCCCAGCACCTCTGGGGGCAGCCGGTGCCAGGGCTGCGGCACCCGCCCCACACAGCAGTGCTTCCCGAGGGGCAGGGGGAGCTAATAGGGCTCCGGACTGGGCCCACAGCCTCTGGGCCTGGGCCTGGGTGCCACCAAGAGGAGCCTGGGTCCTCCTTTGCACCCTCCCTCCAGGTACATGGACACAGTGATGGGCTCCCCCTTGACTATGCCCTTTTGGACCACTGCTGCGCTGCCTGCGCTGTCTCCCTCTCCCCTTGGCAGCTGGCAGAGAAGAATGAGGCCCTCAGAGCATGACATCACCTGAGCGACAGCCCCCGCTTTCCTATCGATCCCCTCGATGAAAAATGAGCCCAAGGCTCAGCAGAGACAGGGACAGCCAGGAAAGCAGAGAAAAGGCTTTGGGAGAGGGTGCAGGACAGCAGCAGCCTGGGTATTCCTGCTGCCTGCCAGCCCCGCACCACTGCTTGCGACTGGCCCAGGGCACGTGCATACTGGTGTGGTTCCAGCTCCCAGGTAACTGGGTTGTTGAGCCCAGGGATGAATTTCTGTTCTTGTTATGCATCCACTGCAGTGCTGTCTGTCCTGGCGTTCCTGAGTAGTGTTTGCTTCTGGAAGCCCCTGTCGGAGAGGCTGACAGATGTCAGCTTCCCATCCGAGACTAGGACAGGGATTGCTCTGGGGCTGTGGCATCCTTAGCAGCCTCTTTTAGCCAGACTTGGCCTTCAGAATTGGATAACCGTCTCTTAATGATTCATCTGTGGATGTCCTTTGTAACTGATGAGCAAATAACCTCTCTCCCAGGATATTCACCTTGTGCTGTAGTAGAGGTTGGACAAATGGCCCTCTGGAAGGGGTTTTTAGTACTTTTTTGACATTAAAGGGTGCTCTCATTAGGAGCTGATCGTGCAGATACCTCAGGTTCATCCAGGATAGCAGCAACCTCCCCACTGCTTCCCAAGAGTCTGCCTTTGCCCGGATGCTTCCTCACCGAGGTGAGCAAAGAGTTTTGTCTCCAGGCTCCCCGCAGCCCCTGCCAAGGTGCTGAGAACTGCGTTGGGATAAGTGCTTTGATAATTCGTTAGCAGGTGGCTGAGGTTTGCTGTGCGGGGCAAGGATGTGGGTGCTGAGCTGCAGCGGTGCGGAGGAGGCAAGAGCTGCGGTAAGCGTGCGGTTTTGTGGCTGGCAGAGCCGCACTGCTGGGCTCCCATACCCCGACCTCTGCAGGGTGAGACAAGGGATTGGCGGCAAATTGTGGATTTAACACCTATGATGAATCTCCATTGCAGCATGAAATGAAAAAGGAAAAGGTAGCTAAAGGGAAGATCTCCCCTGGGCATCAGGAGCTGCAACTTATGAGCAGTGGGGAAAATAAAAATAAAATTAAAAAAAAGGAAAAGAAAAACAAAAAGTAGGAAAAAACTTGTTTCCTTTAACTAAATATTTCAGAACTTTTGCAAGCTGCTGCTTGCAGGTTAATAAGGACATGGGCTAAAGGCCGGGGCTCAAACCCATGACACATCAGAGCTTTCCAACTCCATCCCTCCTGCTTGCTGTGATTAGGGACAATGAAATATTATGGGTTGCTGGTCCTCAGGGGGCTTCATCACAGAACCCAGCATAGCCTGGACCTGCACCAGCCATCTCCCTTTGGGACATGCCAGCAAAACATCCTTCCCTGGGTATACCATGATGCCCACAAGCTTCAGCTCAGCGTTTGTCTCCCAAACATGCGGGCTCCCCAGCACCGCAGCATCCATCCCTTGCTGCCCAGCAGTTCAGCAGCTGTTTCTGTAGGGTTTGTCCCTCTCCTGGGCATTGGTGTGGCTCTCTGAGAGTGGAAAGCAACCCTAGAAGTGGGTGGTTGAGCTCCTGTTGAGGTGGGCATGGGAAGCAGCAGCTGCCAGGAGCCAATGACCAGGCACACAGGTAGCTGGGCTGGACATGCAGGAAGGACAATAGGCTTGGTGACAAAATACGGGCTCAGCACTTGTAGGAAAACCCTGTGTGTTGTCCTGGTGGTGTGGGCAGAAAGGGAATCCAATGATTTATAGCCCAGATAGAAGCACACGAGTTCACTTCTGTGCTGCCAAGGCCTCCACGTGCGACCTTGAGCAAGTCCTTCAGGCTTGGATCCTACGGAAAGAAAGAAAGGCCTGAGGGGAAGCAAAACAGGAAACTCTGGGTTATAAACATGATCTGCCTTGTGCCCCACATTCATTGTACTTACGGCTGCAACATGGATGGCATCCAAGAGAAGGCGGTTTCGTGCGGTCAGTTATTTCTGGGGCTGGGCAGCAGCCAAGCAGAAATGCTGCCGAGTCATACTTTTGGACACGAGAGTCTCTGTTCTCCTTCCAGTCATAAATCACACAGCAATCATGCACTGCTCACTGAGGCCCAGCCTCACGGGGAGGATGCTCTCATGGCCCTCACCCCCCGGTGATGCTGCAGGATGCAGCTGGCGCTGGGTCCCAGTAACGCGGGAGCATCAGCGGAGCCGAGGCAGCTGCTTCTTATTCAGGTTGTTGCTAGGGGAGCCTGCACAGATTTCTCATAGTGGGCGAGAAGTGACTTTCAAATCAAGAGGCAGCATGAAAAATTGCAAAGGGAAAATAAAGTCTTTTATGATATCACATTTAATTGCTAACAAAGGAAAAAAATCACCCCTCCTGCATTTGGTTCAGCGGCTAAAGCTCAGACACCAGCTGCCCCATACGTGTTTGATTCCAACTGGTAGGTTTAAAAGATGCAGAAGGTATTTAATGATAATGATAATGATTTACATTTATATAGTTCCTTGTATCCACTGGGATCACAAAGTGCTTTATATATCTATGGATAAAAATATACTGGATAACAAGCACTCCATCCATCACCAAATCACAGGCACTTCCCAGCGAGGCAGCAAGCTGTTCAGGAGAGGGTTGCTGCGTCTCCAGCGCTGCTCTCCCTTCCCACTGCTGTGGTACTTGGGGTGCTGTACGGTAATTTTGTAATAAAATCAGGTGATAAAAACACTTTAAAAACAACAATGTCATAAAAAGGAGAACCCTCGCTGTCATAAAGTTGCACACAGCAGAACAGGAGGGGAAGGCGGAAGGGAGAAGGTTATAAATAGGGATTGTCGCTGTCGTGAAAATCAGCTCTGGAGGAGAAATGTCTGATAGCTGCTCAGGTCTGGAGGCCGAAGAGCCTGCCCCAGTGACAGCCAGGCTGGCAGTGGCATCTCCAGCAGGGCAGATGCCACCAGGCTATGGGTGCAGGGCGACCTCCCAGGCTTAGGTTGGAGGTAGCACCTGGGATAATTCCTGAGGTTTGAGGGATGCTCCTGCCTCTGTGCCCTGTTGGTCCTGCTGAGCACGAGGGTGCCGGGCACAATCCTGCCACCGTCCTTGCATTGCTGGATGAGCACCAGCATCTCATCATCATTTGTGGAGCCAGGAGTTGGGCTTGATGGTGCCTGCGGGTCCCTTCCAGCTCAGGCTGTTTTGTTCCATGCTTCTTTCCCACATCAAGCATCACTGGCCCCACACCTGGCCCTACAAGGAGCCACTCCACCGAGCCCCTGGACTCAGCGGGCTGGGTCCAAGAGGCAGAGGCAGGAAGGGGGAGAGAAATCAAGTCCCTGCACAAGGCTCTCCGAGACGTTCATTCAAAATTCATAGGCACAAAATTGCAGTCTGCATGGATTTGTTTCCTTTTGGAAATTACAGGAAACTACAGGCACCAACAACTGTTATTCAAATAGCCACTTTAGATGATTAGGATGGCAGGAGGCTGTACTTACACATGCAGACCCAATATAATCAGGCGCCAGGCGGGGTGGGGAGGCACGGCCAGGCAGAGGGATGGTGGAGGAGCTTATCGGCATAAGCAGGCGGATTCTGTGGGGCTGAATCCAGCCCCGGTGCAGTGGTCTAAAGCAGGAGCATCCCATTAGCTTGAGATGATAAAGGGGAGTGCTGGTAGAAATCAAGAAGGGAAGTTTCCACCTGTCTGGAATTTATTTATTTTTTTAAAAGCTACACGCACACACAAAACCCTGAGCAAATATTGTTTTGAGGATTGGCCCGAGGGTCAGCAACAAAATGCAGGCAAAACATCCGAGCCACTGAAGGGTGAAAATTGTGTAATAAATATAGACTGTGCAGTGTGCGCAGGGACAAGAAGAGACACCCAGCTGCTCATTCGGTGAGCAGCATCCCTTCCAAAACCCGGGCTCATCCTCATATACCTGGAGCAACCGGACAGCCCCCCCTTGGCCCCCAGCAGTAATTCGGGTGACCTTGAGTGGATTTTGGCCAGGGCCAGGTGCTTTGCAAGCCCTGCCTTTCCTCTTGTTACCTTTCAAGTGCTATTTTCCAGTAGTATTTTACAAAACTTCACAAGCTTTTAGTCCTGAGACTTTTGTGAAGAAGCTGTTGATAAATCTGGAGTAGACAGCAAGAAAGCTTTAATGCTGTATTCTCTTTCTTTACATTGGGAAAGTGGCTTATCTGCTTCAGAGGGTACAGGTTCCTCCTCCTTATCCACGCCAAAATCTTATCTAAACTGGTTCAGGTGGCGGAGCTGAGAGAGGGAAATAATTAAGCAAGAGACAGGTGAAATGCTGACATTATTATTTCTTAAATGGCCCAAACCTTTTACCTCCTGTTTTTTTGTGTGTGTTTTTTTTTTTTTTTTTACTAGTGACACGTAACAAGGGAGAAACCGTTTTCTCCACATTATCTTACCCATACACACACACAAAACCTGTCCTTCCCTCCTCCCCACCAAAATATAAATCTTTTTTAACTGGTCCTGTTGGCAAGACAGAGAAATAATTAAGGCGAAGGTGGCTGAAATGTTGATGTTATTACTGTAATGCAGCAGCCTGTTTAGTTTCTTTGCCAATGAAATGCAACCAGGGGAAAATCAGTTTTAAAGATTACCTCCCAGAGATGCAAATTGAGGAGCGGAAACCATGTAGTCAGGAAGAAATGGTCTCAAACTAGGAAACATTTCAAAGTCTGTGACAGTCTCTTAGGGGCTTTTAAGACCACAATTTACCTTTTGACTGCATTCTATTTTCTCTGAAATCCTTTATTTCCCCCTTATTTATTGACTGGAGAGACAGCACAAAAACGAGAAAGTGATTCTCCAGCCGCTGGTCTTAAAAATCCATAGAAGAAAATTATTCTCAAGGGGGCATTTTTTTTTGTTGTTGTTGGGCTCTTTCGCTCTCTTTTTTTTTATTATTATTTTTTTAGCACTCTCTGTGAACCAGGGCTTAATTGAATCACTTTGCCATAGAGCCTGGGCTGGGAAGCTATCAAGGTCGGTGCCGTCAGGGGGCGAGGAGCCCTGATTAGAGAGGTGGGAGCCACAGCAACACCACGGCTCGCTGCTGGCCACGTGTGCCCTGAAACGTCGGGTCCCTTTGCACGTGTTAGGAGCTGGCAGCTGAGCTGTGGCGATGTGCTGTGGGGGGCTTGCAGCACAGAGACAGCAATCTGAGTGAAGGAAAGAGGCATCTCTGCTGCTTGGGTCAGCAGCTTGCTCTTGGGTGACCATCCCCCTCTTGGATGAGCATCCCCATCTTGGATGAGCATCCCTCTCTTGGATTAGCATCTCCCTTTTGGATTAGCATTCACCTCCTGGATTAGCATCCATCTCCTGGATTAGCACACCCGCTCCACCTCCCTCTCACTCCTCGCACGGTTGTCCCTCCTCAACACACGCGTGTGTGACGCATGCGTCTGTGCCTGTTCCCTGCCAGCAGTGATGCTGAGACGTGCAGGAACAATCCTGCCGACATCCCATGGAGCTGCCCTAGTTATCCCGGCCCCAGCTGTGAGTGAGCGCAGTGCCCTGGTGAGCCCCTGTCATGGCTCTGCTGGGGAGGAAATAACTAGATTCAGAAATAATGCAGCAGTTCAGGCTCCTACGGGCCAGAACGGGTGCAGCCCAGTAATTAAAGCCTAGATATTGGAGATTAAATCCTTTTGGGCCATCCAGGCAGGCTTTCTACTGGCTGTGTTTAATTACTCTGCTGCTTGCAGCCCTGCCTTTCAGAAGTGTCTGCGCTAGGACATCTCCTCCCAGGCCTCCACCGCTAACATGGGTAGGTGATGGTCCATCCTGGGAGGCAGGCAGTTTTCCCAGGTGCTTCTTTTAAATCCTCCCATGTCTTTCTTCTCCCCCATCTCCTTCCTTGTTCCGAAGCACTTTGGGTCGGCCAGGCCAGGTCTGCCCTCGCAGATGGACCAGCAGTGGAGTGGGAGGGAACCACTGCTCCGGGAGGACTGGAGGAAGGTTCACAGCCTTGGGAAGCCTCCCCTTAGATCCTCAGCGATGATTTCCCTGCACAGCCTCCTTGGATCAGGCTGCTCCATTTTCTCACTGCACATTCCTCTGTGGCTTTCTCCCCAGGCAGGGCTTCCAGGTGCATTGTGTCAAAGCGCTGCTCAGAGGTACCTTTGACTGGTGCAAAGGAAGCAAGAGGGCTGGAGGAATAAAACTTCAGAGGTTTGAAGTTTCCCTTTTGGAACCGAGGGTTTTGCTGCAGTTGAGCCGGAAGCAAGCTGATTTGGGCAAGGCTTCCACCAGAGTGAGCCGTTGATTTTCAGCACACCTGATTTGAAAATTGCTGCCCTGGGTGTGCAGGTCGACATTTGCCTCCGTGGACTTGGACACGTCCCATGGTGTGCTGTGGAGTGCCTCAGTCCCAGGCTCTCTTGAAGGCTTTGCTGCAGGCAGGGCGCATGTTGCACCGCAGGAGAGGTTTGGGGGTTTTCTGTTAGCTCAGAAATTAAGTCAGCCATTAGCACCCGTCTCCCAGCTTTCTGGGTCACCTGTCTGCTATTCTTCCCTTCCTCTACATCTTTCCCAATTCCCACTAATGCTGCAAGCTCTGGCAGAAAATATCCCCAAGGATGCAGCACCTCTGCAGGGTGCGGCTCCCCAAAGCCCTGGCAGCAGGACCCCCTCTCCTCTCCGTGCCTCCATCACTGCGCTGAGAGCACCCTCTCCTGTCTCAGCTGCCTGCACTACATTTTTCCAGCTTGCTTCCCTCTCTAGAAGCTGGTGTTGAGGCTCCCTGTCACACTCTGGGGTCCCAAGCACAGCGTGAGGATGGGGGTCCGGGAGCCAGCACCCACCTCTTGTGCTGCTGGCAGCAGCACTGGAGGCTGCGGGGAGAACCAGGGGCATATTTAACTAAAACCCATTTCTAGCAGAGGTTTGCTATAATTACTAATTAGATCTGGTTATAATTATCTCTCTCTGCAATCCCATACCTGCTGCAGAATAGCTCTGCTTCCTCCTAACAATTAGCAGAGAAAAGTCTTTTATGATGCACTGGGTGATTGCATTGCAATCGCAGCCTCTGTGGCAAACGCTGACTTATTAAAGAAGGGCCGATATTTACAAAAGAACAAATTAGGCTAAAATTAACTGGAGTAAATTAAGAATACCAGGTTTTTCATCTGTCTCCCTTTCTTTTTTGCCTCTGGGTTCGCTCCTAATGCTCCGTGTTGATTGTGTCACTTGACGGACAAAATGATACTGAAAGTGGTGACAAACCATCGCCCGGCTCCAGTCTGCCCCTGTGTAAAACCAGCCTTTCCCTCCTGTGCTCCTCCTGTCTCCCACCGCCCCACAGTGCTTCTGCTATGGGGCAGGGCCCACCCCACATCTTTGTCTGGGCACTGAAGCTCTGGCATTTGCAGCCCCCTTTAATGACGGAGGCTCTGCCTGCACTCCTCTGCCGCGTGGCAAGCTGGCTCAGAGCACCCATCACGGGCTTCCTGCTCGGGGCGTAGGATTTCTCATCGCAATATCAAGGGGGGTGGATTTCCCCCAGCGATGCTAAACCCAGCACTCGCTCCTACTTACGGCGCCTTAATAACTCCAAAGTGACTTACAAAGTGACAACGCAACGAGGAATGTGGTGGGTTTTTAATAGCACTGGGCCGTACAAAATAATCATCAGATGATAAGTTGGACTCAATGATCCATGTGGGTCCCTTCCGATTCAGGATGTTCTCTGACTCTATGATATGAGGCTTTTTTTTTTTCAGCTCAAACTGAACTCCTGGTGACCAAGCGTGATTTCTGGGAATGTTGATGCTCTTTATAGATGTCCAGCCAGTCAGCGATGAGGAGAATTGGCAGTGGTGTGCGATGGGTCACATTTGCTTCTCCCACATAGGCAGCTGAATTATCCTGATTCCTCATTATCCTAATCCAGAACCAGAGAAGGAGAGCAAGTGCTTCCAATTCACATCACACCCGAATGTCTAGAAGAGCTGGGAATCAGCCAGCTACATCCATGGGCTGGGCCAGGATGTCTTTCCTGAGCGCTTCCTCATCCCTTCAGCAGCCTTCTTACACTGAAGGGGAAAATTAACAATGCTCCTTGCTTCAGGGACCATGCCTCCTTGCAAATCATTTTCAGGATCTAGCAAGAATGATTTTTTTTTAATTGCAAAAAGCACACAAAGGGTTGTTGGGAAGAGGAAGCCATTTCAAGCTGGGTTTCTAAACCAATTCAGATCATCCAAGGCTCCATGGAGGGTCTAAAAGAGGAGAAACCAACCCCACTCCAGGCACAACAGAAGCCAATTTTTCCTTGCCCCTTTTCTCAGCCCACCTTTGTATTCACATGGCTCAACAGAGAGTTAATCAAATTGGTAGAAATAAGCCCAAGGCAGGAGCAGCAGCCTTTTTTCCATTGTAATGAATCATATGTTGTCTTAACACACCCCTGCTCCTTTTGCTGCTGTCCTGACCTCTCCGCGATGCTGAACACCCTGTTCCTGGTTCGGATCTCCAGCCAGCCTTTGTAGTGCATTGTCAGCCCTAATTGCCTTCTGCTCAGGCCCGTAGCATGTACAGGTCAGCGAGGCTGCAAGAACAGAGCAAAGGAGGTTGTAGGAATTGCTGTATCAGTCCCTGGCTTTTCAGGATGCTCACAGCACCGGGCACCCCACAGAGCTCAGTGCCGCACCTCTGCAATGCATGGGGATGGCTCTGGGAAAGAGGGGATGGTGAAGAGCAGTCAGGCTGTGCCATCCCCGTTCCGTCTGGGGTGCAAGACCATGCTTTAGTTGCAGATGAATAGCTGGAGAAATAATTACAAGCTAATTACTGGCTGAGGTGGGGTAGGGATGGCAGATGGGCTTGTGTGGGTCCCTGGGGGGTGACAATAGGGTGACAACAAGGAGGCTGCACTGTGCCTGTGCTGGACCACTCCTCAGCGGAGTCAATGCAGAACTTAGAAGGATGCTTTTGTGCTTTGAGGTCCCCAAAGCCCCCAGGCCAACAGGGAAGGAGGGAGGGAAGCCCATTCTCTTTGCAAGCTGGACTCCACACTGCGGGCTGTCACAGTGCTTGTTTTGACCAGGGAGGGCTGTGGTTTAGTGACCAATATCAGGGCTGAGGTGGCAGCTGTCCACACAGTCCATGTGTGTAGGTGACTTGGGACTCGGACAGCAAGCCCTTTGTGTCCCTGCTCCAGCAGGACAGCTCTGCCTGCAGAAGCTCTCTGAGCCTCCAGCACAGTCCTGTCTGTAT